TGGAAAATTCCAACGGATATCGGTTGGAAATTCCGTTGGAAAATTCCAACGGATTGCGGTTGGAAATTCCGTTGGAATTTTTCAACCGAAATTGCGGTTGGAAATCCGTTAGAAAATTCCAACGGATGCCGGTTGGAAATCCGTTGGAAAATTCTAACGGAAAAATTCGTTGAAATTCCGTTGAAAATTCCAACGGTTTTCCAACGGACACCGATTTCTAACGACGAAATTCCAACGGATAAATCCGTTGGAAATCCGTTGGAAACGTTAATTTCCAACGGAAATTTGGCCATTTCCAACGGATTTACCCGTTGGAAATGACCACTTTTTTGTAGTGTAGAGAGTGCCAGGGTACTTCCGGCAATGGCTGACGGAGAAATTTCCAGGTACTTGCAGAGGAGAAAACACTGGCAAACACATTGGTTCTCTACTTCCATTCGAATCTATCAGGGTCGTGGGCGGAGCTTGGCAATCGCATTGTAGATAGCCTGATGTGGAGATCCAACACTCGTTGGGATCTTGTTGCTGGTAGCGACCACCCCGCGGACGAGACTGCATCGGCTACCCATGTGACAACCCAGAGTACCGTAGGAGAGCGGGAAGTGATCGCCGGTGCAGAGGCACGGACAAGGGGCGGCTCCTGACGAGCTTCTGGGTAGGGGGTACAGGGATGAATCGAACACACCGGAATGAGAGAGATCCGACTGTATAGGTATGGGACTATACAGTCTAAGATAGTATAAAAGAATTAGTTGAGCTACTCATAGCAACAAGGTGCACCTACCTTTTTGGTTGACTATCCCGAGAGAACTCCAAAGTTAAGCGTGCTGGCTCTGGAGCAATCTCAGGATGGGTGACCTACTGGGAAGTGTCTCGGTATGCGTGCGAGTGAGAACAAAACACGTTGAAAGGTCTCGGGTTGCTGTGTGAGGGCAGTTTCGATAATTCGTAGCGGCCTCGGGTCGTTACAGATGGTATCAGAGCCGGTACTCTCCCAGTACAGTGTGGTTCGAGGACGAACCAGGCGGAAGCTGGTGGGCCTGTGACAACCCAGAGTACCGTAGGAGAGCGGGGAGTGATCGCCCAAGGAGCAACGCAGGAACGGTCTCACCACCGGCCGAAGAAGGAGGAGTTTCCTCATATTCCAAGATTGAAAGAAGGAGGCGGTGATCGATGAAGCAACTCTGGTCGAACACCTTGAACGAAAATTCTCTGTCCCATGTTGGTCTTAACGTATTTGAGGTAATCCAATATTTCAATAGAAAAATACAAGAAAAAAAACAAAGATTGAAAGAATCGTTATAGGAAGAGCCATGCAGAAAACTTCACACTTTATCATGATGATGGTGATGATATATACAATACAAAATATCTTACCATCATCATCTTTTATATTTTTTTTTTGTGAAATATGAATCTATTTACTCAAAAAATAGGTTACATATCGGCAGGACCGTCTCATAATTTTTTGGGACCCTAGATATTTTCTAAATTTTAGATAAAAAATATTAGTTTATATATTAAAATAATAATAATATTAAAATAAAATTTTAAAAAATCAACTACGATAATACATTTGGTAACGATAACAAAAGTTGTTATCCATCATTACTAATAATTAATTTTAATTATTATATATAATTAATATTTTTAGTTAATAAGGGGCCTCACAAATTTGGAGACCCTATTCCGTCGCACCGTCTACACTTGTTAATAGACGGTCCTGCATATCGGTTTAGTAACCGTGAATACAAAAGGAATTAATATTTCCATGAGGTAGTTTAAACAAAAGAGTTTTGTAGTAACCCATTTTTCAATATATGTCGGTCCATCTTTGATATTTACAATACAAAGTATGCAAATCGCTATTCCATCTCAATGGATCCATTCTCCAAAAAGCCTTCGTCATGCTCTTTCTTCTGCGTGTCTCTCGATACCCACGCATATATACCTTATAATACATATAAGTTAAATAGCTCAAGAGAAAATAGAATTCACCAATATTTAGGCGATTTTTTCCCAAGTAGGAATGTAAAACCCATAAATTCTGCCCTCTTTTGAAGAGTAGATTTTAGAAAATTTAACTATTTGCAGATTTATTATGTTTCATTTTTTAAATATATTATTAAATTTATTTTGGGTATTCTTTTATTTAAAAAATTAAGTTTAAAGAAAAATATAAATGTTAAATTTGCCTTTTTTTTTCCAATTGTCTCTACACTTTGTTCTAGGAAGTTGGATTATCGTAATTCATTTTGTAATCTATATTATAATTTTGAAACAATATTTGTTATTCTCTTTTGAAAAATTTAAAAAAAAACTTAAACGTATATAATATATATATATATATATATATATATATATTCAAGTCTATATATTTTTGAAATATTTATTAAAAATATATTTTATATCTCAAACATTAAACTAATACAAGAATTACAATCGTAATTGAGAAAAAAATTTAAAATATCTTTTATTTATATATATGACTATATATTCAAAATAATTTATATAAAAGTTAATTGAAAATATTAAGTATACCCTATTTAAATATTTTCTAATACTCTTTAAATCAAAATGTCGAACTAAAATTTATATTAATATGTTAAAATTTATTTAAACGATTATAAGTCTATACCCAAATTTTATTTCATTATAACTATTAACTATCATTGATCATCCTACGTAATTTTGGATAAGATAAAAAGGTATAATAATTTTCAATGTATTATGTTAGATTTCTAATGATATGAGAGAGATGAAAATCATTCTATGTAAACAAGTTCATTGATATTGACTTTTTATTAATTTATGAAAATATAAATTCTAAGAAAAATGTTGTTAAAAAAAATTCATAACCATTTAGAAAAGTACAAAAAAAAAAAGAGAATATATTTATATTAGTGATTTAAGATTCTAGATGATAAAGTCTATTTTTTTTATAGAAAATATTGTTGTTGAAAAGATTGATGATAATTTTTACACTATTATCAAAGATAAAATTTGTATATGTTTATATCACAACTTACTAGCTTTGGTCAATGGCGGATTTAGAAAAATTTTGTAACGGGGGCAAAAAATAAAAAAATATATATATAATACAAAAAAGTTAATAAAAACATATGGTATATTTTTTATTTAATTAAAGAAAAAAATAAAAATTCAAAAATGGAAAATAAGAAGAAAAAAAGAAAAAATATAGGAGATATAGATTTTTCTTATTTGATTTGTTAGATAAAATTTTAATATACATTCAAAAATAACAACAATGGGGTCCACAATCAAATTATAATGGGGCATTAATTGTATTTTTCTAAAATTTTTAATGAAATTTATAAATATTAAAAAAAACAAAATTCAGTGGAGGCCAGTGCCTCCATTCATCTTCAAGTGGATCCGCCCCTGGCTTTGGCAAACAATAAAAAGATCGATCATGTTCATCAATTTTGAAACAATATATGTTATTCTCTTAGAAAAAATAAAAATAAAAAATTTAGAAGTATAAAATATATATGTTCAAGTCTATATGTTTTTGAAATAGTTATTAAAAATATATTTGGCGTCTATAATATACATCTTAAAAAATCTTACAACCATAATTAAAAAAAAGTTAAAAATATCGTATATATATAAGATCATATATTAAAAATAATTTATATAAAAATTAAATAAAAATAGTATATATATCCTATTTGAATATTTTTAAACACTTTATAATTAAAAATGTCAAACTAAAATATGTAACCGTGTGTAAAAAATATATACACGTGATTATATTTTCTATAACCGAATTTTATTTTATTGTAAGATTTAAAAAAATAAGATATCCTTGTCGATATCATCCTACATAATATTAGATAAGATAAAAAAGTATCATAATTTTCAATATATCATCATTAGATTTATATTGATATGACAGAAACAAAACATTCTATGAAAATGAATTCGTTGGTATTGACTACTTATTAATTTATTAAAATATAAATTCTTAGAAAAATGTTATTAAGAAAGCAATATTTCATAACTATATAGAAAAATATATAAAAAAAATATGAAGAAATATATTTTTATTAGGTAAATACTCAACGTACTACCAAAATCATGAGTTCAGATCAACAAAAAAAAAATATATTCAACTACTATAATATAAAATATATTTAAAATAAATGATGTAAAAATTATGTAAATGCTAAAAATTGTGAAATATTATATATAACATAAAATTTACAAATGAAAAATTAACGAGTGAAAAACATGAAATTGAAATGTGTTCAAAGTAACTAAAAAATAATATATAACGATTATCATATTCTTTAATTTGTTCTTTATACAAATAATATAATAATAATTTTATACTAATATACTTTTATAGATATAATATTTTTTAATCAAAAATATAATTTATACCAATATAACTATATCTATATCAATATTTTTTATAAAATAAATAGTAAATAAAAAAATAAAAAAACTCGTGCATCGCGCATTGTGACTTGATTTTTTATAAAAAAATTAATAAATGAAATATTATAAATTAGAATCCGATATTAATTAATTGGTTCGATTGTAGTGTAGATTGGATTCAAATCGGTATATATATATATATATACATATATGTGTGTATATATATAGCTTTCAAAACGGTTTATTTGATTTTATAAAAGTTATATAAAATTAAAATCGAATATTATTTGATTCGACACAATCTAATTTCAACCAATTCAAATTTCCAAACCTAAAGAATATAACATCTCTTAGCAAAAAATAAATAAATAAAAACTATAAAAATAAAAGCTATTTTACTAAAAATTAGTAGGGTGTCAAGTCAACAAGGTCCAAAAACTACGAAGCTCAAACTCGAAGTTTCGGTCTGAACCCGGGCCGAAAAAATAAGGTTTCGGGCCTAAGAAAATATAGGCCCGTTTTGGACCCAAAGCCCGCTACTCTTTTTTTTTTAAAACCTAAAACCCTCGATACCTTCAACTCTCGACCTCAGTGGTTTCTCCTTCAACCCTAGACAGATTTGTTACTGGAAAACCTTCGCCTTCAGTTCCTTCGATAGGTCTTCGGAGCTTGCCAATCCCTAATCCTTAGGTATTTCTTTTGATTCGCCGTTTCGCTGCGTTACGCTCTGCAATTTCTTCTATGTTTCAGGATTGTGTTCATGTCTGGACTGCAGTTGTTCTCTGTTTTGATTAGTTCTTATCTGCAGTTCTTGTCTGGAGCTGTAAGGGAGCAGCCATGGCGGTGTCGGAGAACAACCAGGGTTCTTCGGCGGATCAAGAGATGAAGAGAAAGAGGAAGAGAAATCGGAACAGAGGAAAGAAGCAGGAAGAGCAAAGCGTGGAAGAAGAATCGCGCAATGAGAACAGTATCAACGAGGAAGAGGAACAAGGAGGAGGAGAGGAGAATCCGAAGAAGAAGAAAAAGAAGGATAAGAAAGTGAAGTTGGAGGGTAGAAATAAAGGTACGGAAGAGGAAGAGGAAGAGACTGAAACTAAGGAAGAAGGAGAAGAAGAGAAGAAACTGTCAATTGTCGGGAGGGGAATCATGACCAATGAAACCTTTGAATCTCTCGAATTGTCTGAACATACATTTGAAGCTATCAAGGAGATGGGTTTTCAGTACATGACACAGGTGTGTGTATGGAACTTCTCTGACCCGTTAAACAAGATTCAGGAAAAAAAAAGGGTTCTTTTGGGGATAGTTCACTTATGCATTAAGTGTGTGTCTAATGCTCATCATTGTGCAGATTCAAGCGAGGTCCATTCGACCGCTTTTGGAGGGAAAAGACGTTCTTGGTGCTGCCAGGACTGGTTCTGGTAAAACCCTAGCTTTTCTCATTCCTTCAGTAGAGTTGCTACTCAAGGAACGCTTCTCTCCACACAACGGGACCGGTGTTATTGTAATTTGCCCGACAAGGGAGCTCGCCATTCAGGTCAGTGCCCGTTTTTATCCTTGGGATGTCTTGGTTAGCTAAATAATGCATAGATTGGTACAATAGTAAACTAGGATGAATCTTGGGTTTTCAATTGCTGTAAGTATGATCCCTGCATAGGTCCAAATGTAGAAGAAGGACAAAGGTCACACAGATTATATCGAAGACGAGGGTGAATGGTATTTTATTCTAATAGACTTCTAGATTAGTGGGTTGTATTATTTTGTTTCTTGTTGGGTTATGTTTGTATTGGAGTTTGGAAGTTAGGAATAAGTGGGTCTAGAACCTGTTAGAGATTTATAATGTTTGAATCACACATTGTTGTTTTTGTAGCTGTTTAGGCAACAGCTCTTCCTGTAAAAGGAGAGCTTTGCATTATGAAAAAATTATCACGATGTTGATCAAAAAGGAAAAAGGGAAGTTGAATACGCCTCTAATTGTATTCTGGTTCCTAAACTCAGCAAAAGTTTAGATTTCTCTATGATAGGCTCGTTCACGATCCTATCAGTCTTTCAGATGTTTGGTGGTGTTACAAGCTACAGGCTTACAGCCTTATCTAATTCCCGTTTCAATGGTATTATTGGTATCAGACTCTTGGCGTAGCAAAGGAACTTCTCAAGCACCATTCACTAACTGTCGACATGGTTATTGGCGGTAATAACAGAAGGTCCGAGGCAGAACGCATTGTGAAGGGTGCAAATTTGTTGATAGCAACGCCTGGGCGTCTTCTTGACCATCTTCAACATACAAAACGATTCATTTTTAGACACCTAAAGGTACTGTCCTTCTGAGATTGCTTCATTTTTTCGTGTTTTTTTCCCTTCTGAATCATATGTTTTATTAATGATCGGCTGGAACGCTGGTTTCTATAGATGAGAAAAGTAAAAAATGCTTAATAAAAGATAGTGACATCCATTTTCCCTACTTCTAGATTAGATTTACAAAGGAGAAACAACGTCAGTCAGCGACATATCTAGCTTAATGTCTCAGATTTCCTAGCTTGGCCTGTAATAGTACTGATAAATGATATAAGAATACTTTGTTTTTATATTATGTATAATTCTAAATTTCTAATGGATGTTTGTTTCTTCATCTTCCCTAAATTGCAGTGCCTTGTGATCGACGAAGCCGATAGGATATTGGAAGAGAACTTTGAGGAAGACATGAATAAGATACTCAAGATTTTACCAAAGGTACTCCACAATGAAATATATGGTAGCCTTGTTTTTTTTTCAAGCTTAATTGAATATGGTTTAAGGAATGCTCGGAGAAGATATCAGGAAGTTTGGGGAATTTAGAAATTTCTCTTTTCCTCGAAAATTACTTGCTTCCTTTATTGCTATGCCTTTTTCGTTCAGAGTGATTAACTTCTCACCATATTTCTACAGACTAGACAAACTGCGTTATTTTCTGCCACCCAAACATCTAAGGTTTGTTCACTTCTTGGCTATGGAATTTCACAAATCATTTTGGCGTCGGTCCACGACCTGCTATGCTAAATCATGATTTTACTGGTTAAACATTCAGGTTCAAGATCTAGCTCGGGTATCACTGACCTCTCCTGTTCATATTGATGTGGATGATGGTAGACATAAGGTATTAAAAAAATTGAATTGCTCTTGCTTTTCCACCTCTTTTTCCACACTTATTTCCTCAGTGTTATACTAAAGCAGTTTTTGAAACTGTAGGTGACAAATGAAGGATTGGAACAAGGTTATTGCGTTGTGCCCAGCTCGAAAAAACTCATCCTCCTAATTTCCTTCTTGAAGAAGTACCCAAAGAAGAAAATCATGGTCTTCTTCTCTACATGCAAGTCGGTCCAATTTCATGCTGAAATCATGAGAGTAATTAAGGTGGATTGCCTCGATATTCATGGAGGTCTTGATCAGAAGAGAAGAACTAAAACCTTTTTCGACTTCATGCATATGGAGAAGGGTGTCTTGTTGTGTACTGATGTTGCAGCTCGTGGTCTCGATATTCCTTCTGTGGTACCTTTTCACCTCCTCAGATTGTTTGTTCTTTTAAACTTTCCGTGTTATTGAATTACCTGACCTTTTTTTTTGGTTGAATCTTTGTCTATAGGACTGGATTGTGCAGTATGACCCTCCGGATAACCCGAGGGTACAAAAACCATTACATTGTGTTTGCTCTAAGATAATGACTGCCAATATAGATTTGTAGCTTATATTGCTTTATGGTTCTTCGGGTGTTTAGGAATATATCCACAGGGTTGGCCGAACAGCTCGTGGAGAAGGAGGAAAGGGGAATGCATTGCTCGTCTTGATCCCGGAAGAGCTACAGTTCATTCGGTATCTAAAGGTAAAATTCTTCCATCACAAAGAAATCCGATTTATAAAAAAACAAAATTTTCATCTCGGTGACTCCGATTCTTCGTTATGGTTAATCTGCAGGCTGCAAAAGTGCCTGTAAAGGAGCTCGATTTCAACGAGAAGAAGCTGTTGAATGTGCAATCTCTTCTGGTACTACTTACTAATCCTTTGTTTGCTGTCTTGTGGTTAAGATTTCAGTTATACACTTGGAAACATGGGGGGGTTTGTGTTTTGAAATGGCAGGAGAAATGTGTGATCAAGTCCTTTGATCTCAACAAGTTAGCCAAAGAGGCGTATCGAGCTTATATTTCAGCTTACAATTCGCACTCGTTGAAAGACATTTTTAACGTCCACCGACTTGACCTCCAGGTAACTAAAGCAACCTTTTGTTAAACTTTTGGTTTTTGTGCAAGATTGGGTTTAGGGTTTAGGGAGATTGGGTGTGTGGCCTCCGAGAATCTGAGCACTGAGCTTTGGGTTCAAGGTCAGGGTATCCGTATTCGTGTGTAAACCCCTAGCCGACGGGGAGAGGGCGTGAAGCGATGGCGAGAGGCCAGGGGATGAGGCCTAGGGTTTCGATTTAATTTGAAACGACCCTCGTCAGACTACAAAATTTTCGCCCTCGGTCCTCCCAAGTATGTCTCTCTCGCTTCTCTCCTTCGCCCTCAGAGGGTACCGACCCCCATGAGATCTAAAGGTTGGATGGCTCGACTGAGAAACCCGAGAGAGAGAGAGAGAGAGTGATGCCAAAGTAGAGTACACTGGAAAATTCGGGTACCCCGACCGCATCCACCCCTAGTAGGATTCAGAGTTTACCCGTTAGACGGGCCAATCCACGGATACAAATTTTCGGGGCTTAACGGAAATGTTTGAATGAAACAGGCGGTGGCGGCATCATTCTGCTTCTCTTCGCCTCCAAAGGTGAGTCTGAACATCAACAGCGGAGCTGCCAAGGCGAGGAAGTCTGGTAAGAAAGGACGCAACAGCTTCAGCTTCTCCAACCCCTACGGCTCCGCCTCCGCCTCCGCCTCCGCCTCCGCCTGAAAATCATCGATTTGTCCCCATATTCACGATTTTGCCATCGTCCTTTTTTTTATTTGGGTTTGTCTGAGTGAGTGTACCCTGTCTCTTTTACGTCTTATAGATGCTATTTAATCAGATTGTTCAAGTTACTTAACCGGCACATAACCGGACCATAGATCCACTGCT